AAGAAAATTTAGTATGTACTTATTCATGTCAAACGAAATTTGGGAATTTTCGTTCTTGTCGCATCATGTTCCGTCCCATCCCGTCCCGTTTTCAATCGGGAATTGTCAAACATGTCCCATATGGAAACACGAGAAATATACGATAAACAAGTTCGGTAACGGACATAGTACGGAATGGGATCGGATGGAACGAGACCGAAATTATGCCCACCCTACCGGATAATATAATTATTTGGAAATTATATAAACGACTATAATTATTTGGAATTTAAAACTACTCGATTTTTTCTATACATTTTAATTAATACAACATAGTCAACTATTTATATTTCCACTAATTACTTTTTTTGGGTCAAAACTTCCACTAATGACAATCTCTATATAAAATACAATACTTTAAAATATTCAATTTCTACCTACAAACTAAAACAAAAGCCTTCATTATTTCAAACTAATCGATTCTACCTACAAACTAAAAACATACAATATCTAAAATTAGAACATATTACATACGATATAATACGAAAGTCAAGTATAATTTACAACATATACAACGAATGTTCCCGCACATAGTGCGGGTGAGAATCTAGTATATTGTTATGAAATTAAGCAAATGACAATGAGACTTTGAAAACAAAGTGAACAGTAGATTTTGGGCATAAAATGACATTTATAACCTTGAACTCAGCTTCTCTTACCAAATGGAGAACCGTGTAAATCTTGTAGCCTGCAGGAAAATATTAAGTAGCTTACTGTTTACGAAATAGGTAGGCTTTGGAGTACTGCAAGCCACATATTAATGTGTCAGGCGGCGCCATTTAATGCTCTTAACCTCGAGATAATGCACAACGGAAAACGGATCAAACGGAATACAACTCACTCAGCCGATGGTTACATTGCGGCTAAATATATGTTTATCTGGCAACATAAATTTGTATCCTATTAAATCTATGGTATCAGCTAATGATAGATTCAGCTTTGAATAATATAGATAATCAAAGAAACTAACAAAATTCACAATTTTTTCCAGGCGTAGCCGAGAACGGATCAAATGGAATACAAGTCACCCAGCCTATCTATACATAGGGAAAGCAAGTATTTGGAGACGTTGGTATGAACCTTTTAGACACATACATGCAACTAAATGGAAGAAACACTTATAGAGGTGTAGGGGATGCATTGTTCTACTAGAATGGAGTACTTGCCGAAGGATATCCTCCCGAGCAACACACATATGTGGTGGGAGAGATATATGCTGGACAACCTGTTGTTGTAGTCAACGAGAACGCAACTTAGCTATCGTCAGACCATGACATGGATATAAGAACTCAAGAGAATGCGCCCTCCAATAGGGGTTTCCATTAATAAACCTATTATTATTAAAATAAAGAAAAAGGCAAAGAGAGGGGAAGGATGGATTCTTCCTTAATATACCATTGAGAAACTCTTTTGCCATTTATAACTCTACAATTGGTCTAGTTTTTATTTATTAAATTAAAATTTAATTATATAATAAAATGGGCTAATTTTCAAGTGGATGGGTCCTTGAAGGATAGGGATGTAACCTCAGGGTTGGGTTGGGTATGTTTCCAAGGTGACCTTCCTATTCTTTTAGGGGCAAAAGGATTGCGACATTCATAAATAGAGGCCCTGATTTGGACGATGTCATGTCTGATGGAGAGTGGAATAGAATGCCATACTTTGGAGACTGATTGCTTTGATTTGGTGGATATTGTAATGATTCGAGCAGAGTGGCATGCATGCTCGATTTTGTCTGACCAAATCTGAAACATCCAAGACTGTCTCCCGAGTTTTTCGTTATCTTTTATCTCTCGTTCTAGTAATCTAAATGCGGATATTGGTCAAGTCCCAAGTCTCTCTAGCCAAGTCCCAAGTTTCTCCCGTTATATTTGATAAACACAAAAATTGCTTTTGGATCCACAACACAAATACTACCATAATGCAATTATGTTCATACCAAAATATCAATAAACAATAAATCTGCCGGGCAAATGAGTTGAAATCCAAAGAGTCCATTTAGAAAATTGCTCCACTAAAATCAATAACCCTACTTTTCTGTTAACTCTTCCTCTCTTAAAATTTCCCTCCCGCTTCATTACTATTCAATTCGACGCAGACCGAAGTGTGTTTGTTCTTCGTCACTCTCAATTCGCATCAATTATGGCTGTCGTAGCGACCAATCCCAAGTGTAAAGTCCAATGCTTAAACTTGCCGGTTCCAAAGAAACGCAGATTCTCCTCTATCAAAAACCCACTTTCCAATCCTACAATGTCGACACGCTCTGCCTTTCTGTTTCACGTCCGATTTATTCGATTCAGATCATTGGCTTCTTCCTCCGTTTTAAAAAGGAAGAAAAAACATAGAGATCCCCGTCTTATTGACCAAGAGGAGACAAAAGTAGATGATGTGAAGACCATTCAAGTAAACCCCAATGTTATTATTGCTTAATTATGGTTGTTTCATGGTAGTTGTACATTCCAAAGAGCTGCTTGTTAGGTTTGTACATTAGCTGCAATCATGACTTGTAGACACATTATTTCAGACTTGTTTTAGTTATGAGTTTGGTTCTAGGTACATACATAAAGACAAAGCACATTATTAAGGATGGTACTTTGGTTTTTTTTTTTTGTTGCTGTTGAAATTTGGTTTGTTGAAGGTTTCTACTAAACGTTTTTTGCCGCTCAACGAGGAGGAAAAAGTTCAAGTCGAACATGCCTTTTCTGTGATAAATAGGTATTTAAGAAGCACTAGCCTGTTTATGTGATTGACTGCTTTAGGAATTTAACCGATAATTTTATCGCCCTTTTAGAAAGAAGGTCTTGGTTTCGCATGAAAACTCCAACCTTGATATTAATGGAAAAACTTTACAATGCCTAATGCCGACTGCGTGGCTTAATGATGAGGTTGTTCTTCATCTCTTGTTTCTTACAATTTTGTTTCAAATAGGTGTATTTGTGTCGCTTTTTATATTTTTAATGCTGTTTTATTTTGCTCTGCTTATGTATAGATCGTCAATCTCTATCTTGAATTGCTGAAAGAGAGAGAAGCTAGAGATCCCATAAAGTACCTCAAATGTCATTTCTTCAACTCCTTCTTTTACACTAAGGTTTGCTTTCTGCTTTATTTTATATCATTCATTCGGCCGTGACCTGCTTCCGTAGAAGATATTAAGTGCTCTGCTTAAGATTTTCTCTGATTTCAATGTATTGCTTTGCTAATACAATCAGATTCGTTTGCCATAGTTTTGTCTCCGTAATATTCAGTTGTCTACATATGGTTTGTCCACCATGAATGCAAGTGACAATTATTAATGTTTTTGAATGATCACATTCTTATGATTTTTGTCCTTCTAATTACATTTGTTCAGCTACTAGGCTGTTCTGGTTCTAATTACGATTATCAAGTCGTAAGGAGATGGACTACCAAGAAAAAGCTGGGATATGATCTTATTGACTGTCACATAGTGAGCTTTCCCAAGAACCTAAAGTTTTAATTTCCTTTTGTAACTTTTACAAATGAATCCATTTTTGTTTTAATGATGAACCTATGCAGATATGTGTTCCAATCCACAAAGGTACACATTGGACCCTTGCAGTGATTAACATCAAGGAACGCAAGTTCATGTATCTTGATTCACTAGCTAAGGCTATTCCTACAAAAATTTTGAATGCTCTGGTATAATTTCTTGAACATAATTTGAAAATAAAAATTTGGACCTGATGATGGTAAGTAATTGTAACATTCTGACCGCCGTCGAGCTATCGATATGCAGGGAAAATCCTCATCCCCTAACATGCAAGGGAAATCCTCATCCCTTTAAGAGAAATCCTCATCTT